AGAGCCTTCTGTTAAGCCATGTTAACCGTTCCGCTATCTCGGTGCTGCAGCATAAGCGTACAATCAGGTGTCGTTTGTTACTCCATTGTGATAGTGCAGACTGAATGTTTGGTCACCAACACACGAAACATTTGGTTAAGCTGCAAATTTATTCGCTCTTGCAAAACTACCACCATAAAACATGCATTCACGCAGGCATGCCAATGTAAAAACAGTACCTCCAGTCCGGATGGTGCCTTGCTTATTCGTATCAACTCCGCAGCACGTTCCGCCTTCCGTCGAGCTCGCTTGGCTGCTTCTATTTCTGCTTTATACGGTGGCACATATACTCCTATAGGCACATCTTTTGCCCGGAACGACTCCCGTTTTTCCCAGTCAGGAGCCTCGGCACTGATGCATCGTCGAAGATTAAAGCTTTTTAGATTTTCATCCCTTGTCGTTTTCGTAACACTGATTTTCTTCTGCGACTCTACAGTTTTCTGTTGCCGCTCCCTATGCGCCTGGAAACGAAATCATGAAGACCGTAGTATCTAAAACAAAGAAACATGACAACTGTAAGCAATTACTGCTTTTGCATGTAAAAAGTGACTATGAAGCTTCTGTAGCATCAACTAAAAAACGAAGAGGGCAGCTTTCAGTGACAGCAAAATTTCCTTCTTGAGCAGCGTAATTAATTCGGACTGATTTCCTGAGGTCATGAGGCAAATCTTCAAATAAGAAAATATACTCCATTATAATGTGGTTGAGATGTGGAGAACTAGCATATCAGCTTCTTGTTCTCATTTACGAGCTTGCCCTTACATAGTGACTGTACAATGGCTCAAAACGGCCTGAAACCGGCAGGAAAATGCAATTTTGACGGGACATATGATAACAAGGGATCATTTCCCAGCGATCCTTCTAATTCATCGCAAGTTTTCAGTATTAAGGAATATCTCATCTCGAGTTAGATAATTAATTTGTGGTTGCTGATCAGTGGAGAGGGTGTTAGTGAGAAAAAAAGCAGCC